TAGTTTGGTTAGAGTGGCTCTTTAGTTAGTCTTTGAGAGCACACTAGCTTAGTGAGTAGTGACCTAGCTTGTTGTGTGTGCTAGTGATCATAGTAACTAGAATTGTTGGAATAGGTGGCTTGCAACCCTTGTAGAGCTAGAGCAAAATTACATTACGCTGTTTGTTGTACTAATCAATTGCTCTAGTAATCTTGTAGATTTTTAAATAGGCTATTCATCCCCCTCTAGCTATATTAGGGCCTTTCATCAACCCCTGTGCTCTTAGGGCCTCGATAGCCCCTACGAGAGTAGGGACATCCACGGCCACCTCCGCTAGGGGGTACAGCCACCATGACTTCGGAGTGATGCCTCCCAGCCCCACCGCCATGAAGGAAGGCAGCACCAGAACCATGTTGGGGAGGTAGAACCAGTTCTCCTGCCAGTTTGATTGACCATCGAACCCTGGTGGGCGAGCAAGGGCGAGGTACTGGCTAGCAGCATGCGGACGCACCTGGATCTGGACACCACCCATCATCGGGAATGCGTCGCCGGGGAACGATGGCACCACCTGGAACACCCACCTCCAGAGCACGAAATGGGAAGCGATCCCTAGGAATGCCTCACACAGCGTGATGAAGGTCGCGATGTGGAGGATGCCCTCCGGCATCAGGTCATGAAGCCTTAGGCCGTAGAAGAACAGAAGGCCCCGCACAAAGGGGTGCAGGGGAAGGCCAAGCCCCAGGTGGTGGAAGGTGGTGAAGGAGACGATCTCCCTATCCCTAGGCGTGGGTGCCAGCTCGCCAATGCTAGGGGGCCCAGCCAACCGCTAGAACCTCCTCTGGTGCCAACCCGTTCTCCTCCATCCTCCTGATCTTCGCCTCGGTGATCCTGGACAGCCCCCATTCTACCATGGGGACGAAGGTGGGGGCAAGGGGTAGCGAGTGAATGTGCGGGAGCGGGAGGAAGCAAAGGTCGCAGGAAGAGGAAAGGTTTTGCTAGAAGCAGAAGGTAACTCCCCCTCTCCACCTTTCCATCTTCACTTTTGTACTCCGAGAGCAGCAACAGCCGCGCCCCCATGATCCCATGCGCGATCGTGTGGTGCGGCGGCGGTTGCCGAACCCAAGGCGGAGGCAAACCATCGCCTCCCTATCGTCCCGGCCTTGTTGGGCCGAGCCACGCATGCCGCCCACTTCGCGCATGCCTCCTCATAGGACTTAGGGGATCCGTCTCCTCCTGGGCCCATCGGCTATCATCGACGGCTCGAATCCATGCGCACCGAGTGTCGTGGCTCCTCCTCCACCAGATCTGCTCCACATGGCCCCGACGTCCCATCTCCCAGATGAGACGGGACAACGCGGGGGTGCACGCACGCGTCATAACTCCTCTAATAGGCACGACGACCTAGACGCCATCAACCGCCTGCACAAAGCGTCAGTGGACGAGATGCGCCCAGAAGTGGCCCCTTTCACTAGCAAGGAGGCCCCACAATGGCCTCGCGGGCTGCGCCGGCTCCCCAGATGGAGCGGCCCAACCTCCCGATCAACGGGTGCTCGGGCGACGCATCCCCCAAAAACCAACCAACTCCCTGGAGTTGGACCAGGAGCCGCCGAGCAGTGGGCTCAACGAGGGCCTCCGTTCGAGCCTCGGCGCGCTCCCACTTCCTTAATCTATGGCCATAGAGGGTCGTCCCCAGAAGGCTGGCTTGAGAGGACCAGGACCTGTTATCGTAGCCCTTAGAAAGGTGTGGAGCTTCGGATGATCCGATGGCCCTGAGCCAGAGCCCAGCGCTCTTGATCACCCGACCCACGGCAGGCTCTGATCAGAAAGGAGGGTGCCCCTAGGCCTATAGTCGGTAACTCCTAGACGAGTCCACCGAGCTCGCGCTCAAGTCGAAGACCCATGCGACATGGACTCGTGAAGGGATCAACATCATCTTCGCTCAGCCTCGACAGCTGAGCACCATCCATCACACTAGAGAAGAAGGCCCCAAGCAGGGCACAACACTCTCGCCATCGGAAGCCATCCCCGCCAAGGAGGGTTCGGTCACCAGAAGATCGAATTTAGCCCTTCATTGCCATCACGCTAGGTGAGGCCACGAAGGGCTCGGGGGCTTCCGATGAGATCCTAACATACAAGTATTTTAAGCCTTGGGTCCAATGGTTCCCGAACGAAGAAGTCTCTTCGACCGACCCCATCAAGATCGCCCGAGGGCTCGAGGGCTATGCCCATTAGGCACGCTTGCGCACACCCTCTGGCAAAGAGACGTAGCCGAGCCTGACTCACCTGGAGCTTCCGCCTGGGGCTCGGGGCTTCCTCAAGCCTCAGGCTCCCGATCTACGGCACCTTCAGGCCTAGCCCTTGGCTCATGCCCGGCTAACGATGCCAGCCAAGGCCCGGGCACAAGAAGACAAGCCCTAGGCTACCAATGCCTGGGGGCTCCCAAGCGCCACTCCCTAGGCGTGCTCCTGCCAACTGCTCCTCCGACAGGGTCATGTTCAGGGCGCGACACAAGAAAAAGCTTCCCACGGCCTTTGGGGGCTTGGGGGCTTTCAGGCCCGCACGTCAGTCCCTGGAGCCGACCTCCTTCGTCACCAAGAAGACTCCAGAAGGTCTCACCAGGGGAGGTCGGTCCAAGCCGACACCCTCTGACATGCAGAGTGTCCGAACAGAGCAGCCGAACGACGCCCAGGCTTCTTCGGCGCCAAGACACCTCGACGGTCCACAACGCACCGCTACACGCTCCTTCTGGACTCCAGCGCACGTAGACCATAGACTAGAACCCCCAAACCACCTTGTACTCGACCTATTTCATTATATAAGAGATAAGGTCGGACCTAGAGGGGAGAGGATCCCGATTCGATTACTAGACACTCCATTCCATTCCATCTGCCTCTGCTCTGCACCGAGAGCAAGGCAACCCGGAGAGGGGCACCGGGAGCCCCTCCTCCACCGCATCCCGCCGTCTTCTTCCTCTCTCGACGAGGGGGAGACTCCACCGACGGCGAGGTAACCTTAGGATTACCAAATCTTCTTCCTTTACACTCTGTTGTAACCACACAGATTTTGGGTGGTCTTGAGTATAAGGATCATCAGCTGCTAGACGTAGGGGCCGAATTGGCTCGAACTAGGATAAACCATTGCGTCGTCTCTTCGTGATTCTTGTGTTCCTGAGTCCACCCGAGCCACCAGAGACCCCGTACTCTGACACCGACTCGAACAACATGTTTGCCGCGATTTCGACCCCGCGACACTAACTTTTAGCATATAACTCATAATATAGCCCACATGACACTCTCACATGATCTTTGAATATGTGTATGAGCCTATCTCTTGATCAAGGGCTAGTTTTTCTCTCTCTTCTATTAAAATATGAAGAAAAAAATGATTAGAGCTAGCTTATAAGTCACCAATTGTGGGTGCCCTCAGGAGCACGAGCACCACGCCGATCTGTTTTGTCGCTCAAAAGGGGCGGGGGCTAAATAGGAACACAATGTTGTTTTTCTTTTTTTCTAGGACTAATTGAATCTCAAACTTGCCGATTGACATTCTAGCAGGCTACGCACATTTTATAATAATGGTTATCCAGTGATTTTCTATTGTGGGATGACATAGGAGCGAACGAAGCTCACCTCCCATAATGGTAGGATTAAAAAACCTCCCCCCGACTCCATTTCCAGAATTCACACTCTTTTTTTTTGACCCAGGAGTTCACTTCTTGTTTAAGTGCCTGTTTAGTTCCCAAAAGTTTACAAATTTTTTCAAGATTCTCCGTTACATTGAATCTTTAGACGCATGCATGAAGCATTAAATATAAATAAAAAATAAAACTAATTACACAGTTTAGACGAAATTCACGAGACGAATCTTTTAAACCTAATTAAACTATGATTAGATATTAATTATCAAATAACAACGAAAGTGCTAGAGTACCGTTTCAAAAAATTTCGCCATCTAAACCAGGCGTAAATCTCGGTCAGTCCAAGAACTCGTAACTTCTGCATGGACCAAGCACGTGTGAGTTAGTGACCTGTGTGTTTGTAGCTGAATTCGTCCCTGACTCCCTGTCGATATGGCTGGGCTATGGGGTGGAACGCTTGTTTGCTTTGGTTGGGCTTGGGCCACGTCAAATATGTCATCCTCATCCTCATCCTATCCGCTCCACTGCCTCTGCAATTTATACGCCGTTTCTTCTCCCTCCTCCTCCTGGTCGTCTCAGCGGACCAAACCAGACCGACCATACGGCCATTACCACATGCGACTACCTACTCCAGGGATGCTATCTTGCACGCTACTCGCTCCAGTCCTCCAACCCCATCCCTCCTTCCCGGTGGTGCCACCGCTCTTGCTCATGCTCATGCTCCCCGCCTTCTTCCTCCTCCCAAGCAACCAAAGACCAGAGGCTCCATCCGCCACCATCTGTCCCCGGCTACTTCCCGTTCCACCCCACCACTCACCCACGCGCCTGACCACGACGAAGATGGCGCCTCCGATGACGCCCTCCTGGCGCTCCTCCGCGCCCATGACACCGATGCCGCCTACAGCCTCTTCTCCTTGAAGCCTTCTGCCCTCCTTTCCTCCCCCACCACAGCCTCTCACCTCCTCGCGTAGCTCTCCTTCAATTCCAACGGCCCCGATACGTTCTCCCGCGCCGCCCGCCTCCTCCAGAGCCTCCGCACCCGCGGCGCCCTCGACCTCCTCGATGCCAACTCCCTCTCCCTCGTGGCCACGGCCGTCGCCCGCTCCTGCTCCCGCGACGCCCGCCTCACCCACTCCCTCCTCCTCTACATGCTCCATCAGGGCCTCCTCCCCGACCGACGCGCGTACACCGCCGCCATCGCCCGCCTCACGCCGCCCACCAAGGCGCTCCGACCTCTTCAACGCCGTCCTCTGCCACCTCCACCACACGCCACTAGAGCTCATCTACCCCTCCTGCCTCCCCGACGCGGCCGCATTCAATGCAGGCCTTCAGCGCTTTCTTGCCGACACGGGGCCGCCACCGATTCCGGCAACCGTTCGATGCAATGAGCGAATGGAGTGCTGCCGCCGCTGCGCTCACCTACAACGTCATCATCAAGATGTGCGCACGCGCCGGCCAAAAGGACCTCGTCGCGCGCGTGCTTGAGCGCATGCTCTCCTCCGGCCTCGCCCCCTGCGCCACCACTTTCCACTCCCTCGTCGCCGCGTTCGTCGGCTTTGGTGACATCACCATGGCGGAGAGGATCGTGCAGGCGATGCGGGAAGAGCGCAAAGACATATGCTCACTACCCAGGGCTGTCGCTATGGATTGCGACGGTGTGACTGACGTCGAGGAGGGTGCCGCGCTGCTGGACGGCATTGTTGCCGGGGCCAAACAAGGACAGGGCTCAGATGAGGTGCCGCTGCTCCCCAAGGCTTATCCGCCCAACACCAGGGTGTACACCACGTTGATGAAGGGATACATGAACGTAGGCCGCGTCGACGATGTCGTGGTCGTGCTATGCGCGATGCGGCAAGAGGCGCTGACGGTACCCGCAAGCCGGCCGGACCATGTGACTTACACGACGGTGATATCAGCGCTTGTCGGTGCGGGCGATGTGGCGCGCGCGCACGCCGTGCTAGGCGAGATGGCCACGGCCGGAGTTCCAGCCAACCGTGTCACCTACAACGTCCTGCTCAAGGGGTACTGTCAGCAGCTGCAGATCGGCAAGGCCAGGGAGCTCTTTAAGGAGATGGTGACGGACGCCGGCATCTAGCCCGGCATGGTGACATACAACACCCTCATGGACGGGTGCGTGCTCAGCGATGACAGCGCAGGCGCGCTAGCCTTCTTCAATGAGATGCGGTCACGGGGCATCGCGCCGTCCACGGTGAGCTACATGACGCTGATGAAGGCGTTCGCTGTGTCGGGGCAGCCCAAGGTGGCGCACAAGGTGTTCGAGGAGATGGAGCGGGACCCCAGGGTGACAGTGGATAGGGCGGCGTGGAACATGCTCGTGGAGGGGTACTGCCGGCTGGGGCTGGTGGAGACGGCGAAGTAGGTGGTAGAGAGGATGAAGGAACACGGCGTGCAGCCGAACGTGGTGACGTACGGCAGCCTGGCGAAGGGCATCACGATGGCGCGCAAGCCAGGGGAGGCGCTGGTGCTCTGGAACGAGGTGAAGGAGCGGTGCCTGGAGGAGGCCGACGAGGAGCTGCTGGGGGCACTGGCGGACATGTGCGTGAGGGCGGCCTTCTTCAAGAAGGCGCTGGAGATCGTGGCGTGCATGGAGGAGAAGGGCATCGCACCCAACAAGACCAAGTACAAGAAGATGTACATCGAGATGCACTCCAGGATGTTCACCAGCATGCACGCGTCGCAAGCGCGCCGGGACAGGCGCCGGGAGCGCAAGCGTGCCGCCGAGGCCTTCAAGTTCTGGCTCGGTCTGCCCAACTCCTACTATGGCAGGGAGTGGCGGATCGAGCCTCTGCTGGATGGCGATGACCAAAGTTGAGCCACCCGCCACCGTTTCTGCTATGAGCACTGTACCCTGCTGCATGAAGGGAATTTTTGTCAAACTTACAAAAGGAAAAATATACTTCATATTTCTTGTTGTAAACCTCAGGAAATTAACCAAATGGGATTTACATATCCCCTTCTTCCTTGTACAACCTAATCAGGAGTAGAGATTTTTTTGCTGCAGGCAGTTGTTATCTAAATGGTACAAATAATTCATTCTACAATCGAAAGGAGAATGGGAAACAACAAGCAAACAATGCAGATGAATGTAATGCGAAACACTAAGACGTCAACCAGAAGAAGGGTGAACGAGAGTTGCTAAAAACAATTCATGAAAGAAATTAGCATATATCCCACTTTACCCAATGCGCCTCTCTTTTAACCGTCAAGGTGACATAAGTTAACAAGTAGCATATGTAAGAAATATGAACCCTATCAAAATAGTTATTTTGCCAGTTGAATGACAAATATTATCATTAGGACTAACCGTTGTACCCTAAACCCATACACGTCCGTTTGAAGTGTGTAGGAGTTTGTTAAAGCTATAGTCGAGAGGACGCTCATTTCTGAGTGCTCTAGCCACCATATACAGAAAATTAGGCGATTAGCAAAAGTGTTAGTATTAGTGTTTAGAGTAGTTAGGGCTTCCCCAACGCTGCTTTTTTACTAGTAGCCCCAAGTGCCATGTATGATCAGATAAAAAAGTAGATGCTCTACACTTGTCATAGTGGCTTGCAGAAGATATATATGCTTGGGAAGAGTGAAGGTGGTCCATGCTAAAAAAGAAGAGGGAGAGAAAATAAAGGTGAGGTACGATGAAAGAAAAAAGTTTCTTTGCAAACCACAAGTAGTGATAGTTTGCATTGTGTAAATAGTCGTCTCAACATTTCCTAGTCTATGTAGATCACTTTATTTGTACTGTAACCACTAGAAGTGTTAGCCTTCATTAATGGTGCCCTTAGAAGCCACTTTAGCACTTGCTCTAGGTTTAAACAAAGTATTTAGTGAGGTCTGCATGCCTCCTTGCTATCGGTACTTATGTACATCAAGAGTTGTACTTCTCGAGGCTTGTAGGTCCCGCGTACTTTTTGGAATGACTGTGGTGGAGCACGAGGGACGTGAGGCCCTCGGCATTTTGGCCCAAGGTCACCTAGTGGAGACGGCAGGGAGTGATACCATCCTACACCCCTTGACCGATCTCACTTACCTTGCCAACTTGAATGTTTCGTTTAACAGACTGGATGAACAGATACAAAAAGGAGTGTTCCCAAAATATGACACACAAAATCATTGATGGAGAACAATGCATTGTGTGGCCTACCCTGCCTAGGTATAGTACAATGCCAAAACACCAGTCACCGTACGAGACCACAAAAACTATTGATAAAAGTCCTATTACCTAATACCATCCTGGCATTTTAAGCTTTAGCTTTAGCTGTGTTCTTGTATATGGTGGTAAGAATGAAGGTGAACAACCGAAGAAATATGCCGGTTCCTTAGACAGAGACTTGCAGAACTATCAGCCACTGCTGATCTCATACCACTGCACGAACTTGCTCCCGCAACCAACATCTTAACTGATGATAACTTTCTAGGGGAAGGAAGCTTTAGGAAGGTCTTCAAAGGTAAGCTAGGTGAAGGATCTTTGATAGCAGTGAAAGTACTTAGGGCCAGTTTGCGCCCTCGCACGCTGTCACGAACTAGATCGGCAATTACAGAAATGATAATTGGAGATAGTAGAAATCAGAGGATTTGGTATTAGAATTGGGAGGAACAGGGGTTCAGATACAGAAGAACAGAGTTCTTAGAGGGAGGAATTGGTTAAGACTTCCATTATTCCTTAACTGTTAATAGCGCCATTACACCGCTTATAAGCGGACTCACACCGACACCACGACCCGCCATGGGCCAGACGAAGCCCAACACCTTAAGGCCGGCCCAGAACACCATTCTTGTCTTCACCTTTTTCCCGCGCCTTCTAGCCACTACGCTTGTCGCGCCTTCGCCTCCTCAGATTGCTGACACACGCCTGGACTTTCTACAGGCTAATCGTTGATGTGGAATGGTGTGCTCGTATGCATGAATCTGAACGCGTGCAAGCCTATCAGGCTCAGCGTAACATGAACTCCTGCCTACACTTCGAGGTTGATCGTGAATCCGTGGGCAGCTCTGATCATCAAGGACATCGGGGTCGGCGAGGGAGATGGTGAAGTTGGTGTAGTTGATGTTCGTCACGTTGTAGTAGTAGTAGTAGTCTGGGCTACTGCTGCTGCTGATGCTGCCGAGTTGCATGATGGGATACTTGTCGTCCACACAGTCGATGGCCAGCCAAGGGTACCCGCAGGAGGAGTTGTTGCCCAGGACATCTGTCGTCCCATCGGAAAGATAGAATGGGTTGTTGGATTGATCTCCCACGCCATTAGGCCCAACAGCCTTTGGGCCTTGTTCTCGCGCCCTGATCGGGGGCGCCCAACCCAATATGGTTGGTGGGCCCCCGTCGCACAGCGTTATAAAGGAAAGGTGGGGGCCGGGGCTCGTAGTACGAGGTTCACCGTGCCGCCAGTCACCCCACCAACATCCTAACCCTAATCCGATCTTGAGAAGGGGCGCTGCCAGCGACGGGAAGCACCACCGACGCCGGCAACGCCACCCCGACGCACACGCCGCCGCCAAGGACGCCACTGCACCGACTCCTCTCTCTCCACCGAACGTCGCTGCCGGTGCGCAGATGGCGTCCGCGAACGAGGCCGCGGCCGGCGCTTCCACCACTCCGACGGCTTCAACCACTACGGCCTTCGATGGTCTGTGACTTCCTATTCCACCTACCCCTCTTCTTCCTTTTATATCTCTGTAGTTCATGCATTAGGTTTTGTGTATATACTGTGAAGCTTGAATATGTATTCCTATTCTATATACCCGATCTGGTGAACTTGACTCAATTGAGTCCTAAGAAATCTAACAATGGTATTAGAGCTAGGTTAGAGAAGAAACCGGATCGGGAAAAAGAAAATAGAAAGAAGAACCCTAGATCTAAATCCTTTCGGATAAGAGAAAATCAGACCCAAATCCAAAGAGGGGAAAGGGGATAATCTTGGAGAACTCGAATCAAAGAAAAGAAGGGTCGGAACCCTAACCCTAACCCTAGTTTCCCATTCGGATGAACGAAAAGAAAAGAAATCAAAAGAACAGAAAACCAAATTGGCAAAATCAAATCGAAAAGCAAATCCCTAACCCTAAATTTTTCCCCATCCCCACCATGGGTTAATCCCAGAAGAAAGAAAGGACGGGGAAGAAGGTAAAAAGGGGGCGGATTCACCTTCGCCGGCGCGGGAGAAGAAGAGCCGATTCAGGGCGCTGCTCACCGGGCTCGGCCAAGGCGCCAGCGGCTAGGCCGCTGACGGTGGCGTGCTCACCCGTTGGGGAGCACGCGGCCGCAGCGAGGGGGCCGGCGATGGCACCATGGTCGCCCGCTCCTCCGCCTTGAGACGCTCTCGGTTGCGCTCCGCCTCGCTGCTGCGGCTGAGAGAGAGAGAGAGAGAGGAGGAGCGAATGGCCTCTAGGGTTCGGGAGGACGCGGCTAGGGGCCGTTTTTGTTCGCCCAAAGAGGCGGCAGCCGTCCGATGAATCCAACGGCCACGGGATGCTCGGGCCGTCATTGGCCAGCCAGTGGCCTGATGGCTGCACACTTTGCCAAGCATAGGCCCAGTTTGCGGCTGTCTTGGCGCGGACAAATGGGTTATTGCAATACATGTTCTTGGCCAATGGGCAGCAGTGATATATGAAATGGGCCATACCGGGTGAAATGAAAAGAAAAATTTTGTTATTATTTTCCAGGAGCAATTTTAATGCATATTTTTTGATGAATTTGATACAATTTTTCTGCGCAAATTTTATCCAACGATATTTTGCTCAGAAAACAATAAATTTTTTAGTGCTTCTGAAAAATAATAATATGAAAGATTATTAAGTTTTCGCTATGCATGATAATTATTGTTCTCTTTGATTAAATTTGAACCAATGGGATAATTTAATTTTAAGAGAAGTGATGAATTTCTGATAATTTTTTTGATGAGATTATGATGTTGTTATTTTCTGACCAACGTTGTTAATAACAACATTATAATTTTGATCCATGAGAACTTATGCATTAATTTTACTTCTGCCCAACGGTGATGTAAAATGTTTGCATGGATGAATTATAAGTTTTAATTTGACCAACGTTGAGTTAAAGCATGAAATTTTATGTATAAATATTTCTTACTTACTCTGGTGTGATTTCAGGAGGCAAATGCATTGTGAACATTACCAACATCCCGACACTCAATGGGACCAATCACCGTGTGTGGCAGGAGAAGTATGAATTAGAACTTGCGTTGGGAGAGGTCGATTTTGCCATCACCTCACCGTGTCCTACTGAGCCAGAGGACCCAGTGAGAGGTGAAAATGAATCTGACGCTGATTTCACTGCTCGAAAGCGTGATCATGCTGAAATAAGAATGAAATATGACCTTAAACATAGGCAATGGACTCTCTCCAACCGCAAGTGCCTGTTGGTGGCCAAGGCCACCACAGAAGAACAGATAAGGGGCTCAATCCCTGAATGTGCTGCTGCCAAAGAATATCTTGAGAAAATCAAGAGTCTGTTTACTGGGTCTACCAAGGCCACAGTAAGTTCACTGATTAAGAAGCTTGTGAATGAGAAATTCACTGGTGGTAGCATAAGAGAGCACATTTTAAAGATGAACACTACGGCATCTAAGCTAAAGGAAATGAATTTGAAGGAGGAGGATTTCCTGATTCATTTGATTTTTGCTTCTTTGCCAAAAGAATATGACATCTTCATTGTGAATTACAATATGCAGCCTGAAAGATATGGCATAGAAAGACTCATCTCAATGTGTGCTCAAGAAGAGGAGAGGATAAAGTCCTCACAGGGTGAATCCACTCATTTTGTGAAGGATAACAAAAGAAAGAACTTTAATGGCAAGAATTCTA